AGCCTATGCTCACACAGTTTTTGCTGCCTAAGAGTGTGTATGTGTATGTACGTATGTGCCCATAAGTTTATACAAACTAATTTTGGGATGGGGGTAGAAATAATCTGGGGTCAAAAAATATCCAGGCTACTTTGCCCATAGTCACAAACCTACTGTGGCAAATGCTAAATTCAACTTTGGACACAGTACTTGGTTATGTTATCTCAGAGATGGTTCCAGCCCCCTAATCATTAAAATTCTACAGTTGATGACTTAGTGCCAAAGTGAACTGAACTAATCCAATAAACAGTACAAGGAGCAATGGTGACATGCATGGTGCTGTAACCCACCGTTTTTCATAGAGCTGGTGTCAGGTGAAGTGACATCTTATACATCTGTATGGATTACTTCACCTTTCACTGTAACAATGCCCTGTGCATTATTTTTTTAAATGTGTATATGAGACTTTCTTGTGCTTGAGCTTCGTATTACTTACCTATTCCTTGGGTTGTCAAAATATACAATAATATCCATATCGGCTCAATAGCTTTACATTTCACAAGAGGATATTTGCTTTTCCCAGTAAATGCATGCAGAAAGCCATGTAGCAACATCCTGAAAGACACAAACAGTTGTAAATTAGGCAGAACTTCAATATTTCAAAATGACTTATGTTAGAAATTGATCAATAAGCCTATTCTGTACATTCCATGATCCAATCCAGCATGATCACGGCAGGCCATGCATTGTTTCTTTTTATAGTTCCAAAGGAAATTTTGTAACCAAATAATGCCCCTTCCCCTCCTCATATATGTTAAAGTGTATGTATATCATAGCCATAACTTATTTTTGTTTTGGATAGAAAGGAGACAGGTTTAAACCCATGCCAGGCTATTTATTTTGCCATCTGTGTACCGTTGGGGTTATTTCCCATCACTGCTTATCCCAGAGACACAACAAGGGGATTAGAGGAAATCTCCCAAAGCAAGAGGAATTCCCTCCTTAGGCAGTTGTCATATTTTGACGATTTCCCCCAGGCTCTCGTTCTGGGGACAACTTTAAAATTTTGGATTTCTCTTAATTTTCTCTTTACCAGTAACAGATGCCCTCAGTTCAAATAAAAGGGTGAATCTACCCAATGGACACAAGGCGACATTAAAACTTGAAAGAGGGTCTAAAGCTGGCCACCCACTGTAAATAGAGTGGATGGAGGAATCTCCCCAGCTATTGTATTATGATCCTTCATTTATTGTGAATCAGTGCACGCCATACATCAACTTGTGATCATTACCTGTCAATCTGGTAAGGTACATGAGTTGACAGGTGTTATACCATTCGGCTGTTTCACTGTTTGATCATATGTTGTTGTGTGGCGTGGCACTGATTCACAGTATATGAAGGATCATAATACAATAGCTGGGGAGATTCCTCCATCCGCTCTATTTAAGGTAGGTGGCCAGCTTTAGACCCTCTTTGAAGTTTTAATGTCATCTTGCGTCCATTGGGTAGATTCACCCTTTTATTTGAACTGGGGGGCGACATTAAAACTTGAAAGAGGGTGTAAAGCTGGCCACCCACTGTAAATATAGTGGATGGAGGAATCTCCCCAGCTATTGTATTATGATCCTTCATATACTGTGAATCAGTGCCACGCCACACAACAACATGTGATCAAACAGTGAAACAGCTGAATGATATAACACCTGTCAACCCATGTACCTTACCAGATTGACAGGTAATGATCACAAGCTGATGTATGGCGTAGCACTGATTCACAGTATATGAAGGGTTTTGCAATCACTGGAGCTTATTAAGCAAGTCATCTACCTACTCAGGGTAAGGGTAGGAATTACAGTCACTGGATGAGCACATGATCGCTGGGGGCATTTGTTTTGTACACTTTGATGTGAGCACATCACCAGTATTTGCGTCATATTATAAGGATAATGCACCATGTGTAGTCTATTTATTTTTTTGAGGTACTAAGAGTGGAAGAGGAGAAATTGGTTTGAGAAATCAGTTTGAGGGAAATTGAGAATTGGTGGACAAAAGAAAGATATCCCCAGTATATGGAAAACTCTTGAGAACTTTTGGGACTTATGTGTTGGACGTTTTGTGCATCTGGAATTTATATTTTATGTTGGCCACTATTTAACTTAATAAGATTTGAGCTTCCTGGGTGGAAGTATTACTAAGGCGGTTCAGGGGTCACAGTATCACTTATCACATATTTAACATAGCAGGGTGTGGTCTATTTACCTACTGTTATCCTATGTGTTCATGCACACTACTTTAGGCTATTAGCATTTTTTGAGCTTCAGCGTCTAGCAGCAGAGAAAATATTGTTTATGTAGAGTTTCTTTTGGAGTGTTTTTTTCAGCAGAAAAAAAATGCTAAATGCTCCTAAACGCTACTAAATGCTACTAAATGCTACTAAAACACTGCTAACAGCTTTTTCTACATGTACTGAAAAAGCTTTAACACTCCTAATTGATTCTAAACACTACTAAAACGCTATTACCAGTGGTTTTTATCCAGCATTTTTTCCAGCGTTTTTTGAGCTAAAAAAACGCTAGTGTGCATGGAGCCTTAATGTGGCGGGTGACCTCACTTGATGAATAGATAATCTTAGGGCACAGAAGGGTTAGCTCTGAGGAAGAAGGGATCACCCTTCGAAATGCATCATCTTCATCCTGAGAGTCTCCCCTCTAGATGGGACTCGCAAGTGTCTTCTGATGTTGGATTGTATATGCTTTTTATAATCCTACTTTTGTGAGTATACATCTTTACTTAATAAATGTACCTTTTACTCACTGAGGTAATGCGTAAGGTTGGTGCGCGTTTGTTTTTGTTCTTTGTTACAACAGAAGGTAGTGAGACTGAGGTTGACTTTTATGGGAAACACTCAATATACATTATGCATGTATCAGCTGGTTTTATCTCTGGATCTGCAAGTCATTAGAATTGGTATACTATGCTAATGTAAAATATTCCCTTTTTGCTCAATCTGAATTGCCCCAGGCAGTTACTAATTTTATGCTTCCAGCAAAGCTTAGTCAACTACACTTCAAAATGTACAACCTGAATTATATGACTCCTTTATCAAATGCGGCATTGTAAATATAAATATACAAACACCTAACCAATGTTCTAAGTGTTTTATACTTGATGATCTCTGATCTCGTTGCAGTGCTCTCGTGTGATCTCGTGATCTCTGAAACTTCCATGTAGCTGAATAATAAAATCAACTTAATCCAAGATATCTGTTTAGTCAGAGTAGCCAGTATTAAAAAGCTCTCATGAGGAGTGTCATCACTGGATACTGTATCCAGAAAATCCAGGCACAGGTAAACCCTGAACAATAAGTTTTGCTAGCAGTTGTTTTGTAATAGAATGTTTCTATACAGAGATAATCTCTGTTATTCAGTTTCTCAAAATGAATAGGTAGGTAACAAAGAGCTTCCCATTTGACTGTGACCTGGATGGGCGCCTCAAGCAATGGTCTGCTTGAAAAGGGGAAGGCTACCTTATATTCCTCTTCTTTGTGGCACATAATTACAAATATCTAATGTAATAATAGCATAGAATCACTATGTTATTAATCCACTTAATACTAACTAATAAAATAGCTTTCATCAAGCAAGTCTTTTCTAATCCTGCTTTGAGACAAAACGAATAGTTTGAAATAAACACATGATCCAAGTCCAAGGCTGAATATCTGTGAAACAATACACACAAAGGGGCCCTTTTATTAAAAAATGTGCATAATAATTTACCCAGTTAAATGCATGTACGTTTTTTTTTTTTTTTCTGTGCAAATGGATGTTATTAGGCTATTTCCTGTGCTGTTTGAATGTTTTTCATTGATGGAAAATGGAAAACACTGTATTTGGTCATCCCAACAACGGCACCACCTGCCTGGAGTTTGCATGTTCTCCCTGTGCCTGCATGGGTTTTCTCCGGGTACTCCGGTTTCCTCCCACACTCCAAAGAGGTGAATTGGCTCTTGTCTAAATTGGCCCTAGTATGTGTATGTATGAATGTAAGTTAGGGACCTTAGATTGTACGCCCCTTGAGGGTTAGGGACTGATGTGAATGTACAATATATATGTAAAGCGCTGCGTATATTGACAGCGCTATATAAGTACCTATAATAAAATAAAATAATTTGGTCACTTGATGGTTATAGGAATATCCTATTTTGCAGGCTGCAAGAAATCAACTGAAATTCAACTTTAGAGTCTTTCTTGTGACTTTCAACCTCTTGCCAGCAATGCAGTCCATGTGTGCAACAGCAGGGAGGGTGGGTCTTGATGCCCACACATTACATATATGTGTCCAAGGCAGCTGAGGTTTCTGTGCTGGGAGAGTGCTTACTGTGCACTGCACCCAGTTGTCACAGACAGCTCCCAGTCACAGTTTATGATTGGGAACCAGTAGGATGGGCTCCTGATCATATGAGCCCTGTGACAGCCAATCAACACAATGATAAAGTAAGCTGGCATTTTGTCAAACTTCTCAGCATTAAGACCCAGTTATAGGGCTGCCAGGAAAAGGGGTTAAAGATAATTGAGAATAATTAATTGCACAGTTCATGCAGCTAGTAAGGTCAGGGATGGCTTGTTTTCACTATATCTGGTCTCCCACAGTACACATAACATGGAATTGCAATTAATTTTAGTAAATATAAACTGCTAAATATCTTTTCTCAACAGCAGTTAGAGCAGTATTGTGACTTCTATCAGTGTCCAGCAGAGCACTGGTTACAGCTTGTAGGAGGAGTTTTCATTCTCCCCTGACTGTCCTATAAGGCTGCATAACCCCTGACCCTCTGTCTGGACAGCATTGGTTTGCCCTGTGCTGATCACATACACTTACTTATTTACCATACAGTCCAATCTCTGTTGTCATTCACATATATACTATATTGCCAAAAGTATTGGGACACCCCTCCAAATCATTGGATTCAGGTATTCCAATCACCTCCATGGCCAGGTGTATAAAATCAACCACCTAGGTATACAGACTGCTTCTACAAACATTTTGAAAGAATGGGTCAATCTCAGGAGCTAGATAGGTTGCCACCTGTGCAACAAGTCCATCCTTGAAGTTTTCTTGCTACTAAATATTCCACGGTCAACTGTTAGTGGTATTATAACAAAGTGGAAGCAACTGGGAACAACAGCAACTCGGCTACGAAGTGGTAGGCCACGTAAAATGATAGAGTGGGGTCAGAGCATGCTGAAGGGCACAGTGAGCAGAAGTCGCCAACTGTCTGCAGAGTCAATAGACCATCAAAAATATCTCCAAACTTCATGTGGCCTTCAGATTAGCACAACAACAGTGCGTATAGAGATTCATGGAATGGGTTTCCATGGCCGAGCAGCTGCATCCAAGCCTTACATTACCAAGTGCAATGCAAAACTTTGGATGCAGTTCCGTAAAGCACACTGCCACTTTACTCTTTGGCAATCCGATGGACGTGTCTGGGTTTGACGGTTGCCAGGAGAACGGTACTTGCCTGACTGCATTGTGCCAAGTGTAAAGTTTGGTGGAGGGGGGATTATGTTGTGGGGTGTTGTTTTTCAGGGGTTGGGCTTGGCCCCTTCGTTCCAGTGAAGGGAGTTCTTAAGGCATCAGCATTCCAAGACATTTTCAGACAATTTCATGCTCCCAACTTTGTGGGAACAACTTTGGGATGGCCCTTTCCTGATCCAACATGACTGCACACCGGTGCACACAGCAAGGTTCATAAAGACATGGATGAGCGAGTGTGGAGGAACTTGACTGGCCTTCACAGAGTCCTGACCTCAAACCGATAGAACATCTTTGGGATGAACTAGAGCGGAGACTACGAGCCAGGCCTTCTTGTCCGACATCAGTGTCTGATCTAACTAATGCACTTCTGGAAGAATGGTGAAACATTCCCATAGACACACTCCTAAAGCTTGTGGACAGCCTTCCCAGAAGAGTTAAACCTGTTATAGCTGGAAAGGGTGGGTCAGCTCAATATTGAACCCTATGGACTAAGACCGGGATGCTATTAAACTTGATGTGCGTGTAAAGGCAAGAGTCCCAATACTTTTGGCAGTATAGTGTATATATTGTTTTTCGTTGTACATTATTTATGCATGGTATATATATGTTGTGCACTGCAATGCATGAGTTTTGAGCAGAATCACATAGGATGATGTTTAGAGGTATATATGTTAGCAAGTTGTTTCTAGCTTGGCAGTGCAGCATCTTTTTTTCTTTCAATACACTTTCACTTAATACATTAGGCCAGTGTTTCGCAACAGGGGTGCCATTAGGGTTCCAACAAGGTACTGCGAACATAGGACCCAGTTTGCAGTGGATCAGCATCATAAGTTGCCATGGTGTGGGCAGGCGGATCACGAGCACCATTACAACCAATGACGCTCTAGGGGAGGATGCACAAAGTCACTGCTATTATGTTAGCGGTCTGTCTGCCTGCATCAAGGCAACCTATGACTCTGATCCAGGGCAGGTGACATGCAGGGCCAAGCATGAGTTGAAGGAAAGAAAAATCACTTGATTCCCTCATCAACACAGTCAGTGTTGATGGGGAAATCTCTCCCACTGTGCTATTGTATTTTGACAGTGTGCGGTTTCCCTGCTGTCAGAATATAATGATCACTGTGATCGCACAAAGATAACCCCTAACAGGCTGGTTTACTGAAGTTGATCGATAGATCAACTTTAGAACAACCAGCCTGCCCATAGATGGATCAAAACTCGCCTGATTCCTGCTACACTGGCAAATTTTTAATCTGTCTAAGATCAGCCTTAGGTTACAGTGAAATGTGAAGTGTGATCATCAAAAGGAAAGGAAGGCACAGACAAAAACACTGTTAAAAGTTCGAACCTTTCCCCTTTCTACTTAAAATGTGTTTTATCTTTACCCCATTAAACATATTTTTCTTCTCCTGACAGGAAGTGAGAAGAAACATGACAGAGGGCTCTAACCTTTCTCCAATGTATCTAAAATGAATTGAAATATGGATGGAGTTGGGCTGTAAGACAATTTTGTTGCAAATCATTTTGGTACTAGTTTACGAAAGTCTCTTAAAGTGGCTGTAAAGGATCAAGGTTTTTTACCTTCATGCATCCAAAAAACCTTCTGTGTGCAACAGCATCTCTAGCCACCCAATACTTACCTGAGCTCCATTGTGATCCAGCGATGTGCATGAGAGCCTTGGCTCTCTGGGGACTCTACCTCCTCATTGGCTGAGACAGCCAATGGCTGCCGCTGCTGTCAATCACAGTGAGCCAGTGAGCAAAGAAAGGGGGCAAGGCCAAGCCACAGCTCTGTGTGTGAATGGACATGCAGAGCAGTGGTGCAGGAGCAAGCCTGCTTGGGAGCCACTACAGCAAGCTGCTTGCTCTGGGGGACTTGACAGGAGGGAGGGGCCAGGAGCAATGGCAGGGGACCCGAGAAGAGGAGGATCACAGCTGCTCTGTGCAAAACTAGTGCACAGAGCAGGGAAGTATAACATGTTTGCTTTTTTTTTTCTTAATTGCCTTTAATATCACTTTAAAGCCCAGAAAAAAAACTGAAAAAGTTTGAGCAAATTTTCCATTTAACAAACTATTAAGGAAAGGTTGTTTGCCAGAATAATAGCTTAAGCAGATTTTAGCTTGGCAAATTGTATATAGCAAAGATTAAAAAAACAAAAAAACACACTGTAATATTCTAATTTATGAAGAAAGAAAAGACTTATTCTCTGTGCTGTTATTTCAGAAAAGTTTAATAATTCATGCGTTCTTCTTTAGGTGCTTTAATAAAGTATGTCCTCTAAATATCAATGGAAAGTGATTGAAAGCTGTCAACACAAAAAGAGACCTTAATCAAAAGTGAAAAACCATGCATCAGTGTAAAGGTGTAAAGGTACTACCATGAAATTCCTGAGCCTCACCCAGATTTTCCCTAGCACATGGGCTGCAGATCACATAAAGATAGTAAACAATGACTCATCTTTTGTACAACTCAACCTGGATACATTGACAAGGCATTCTATATGTTTATGCAATTTCCTTTTTGATGTAAATATTTCAGTAAATGTATATATATATATATATATATATATATATATATATATATTTTTTTTTTTATTGAATGCTGTGTGCAATAGTTATTCTTAATGATGGGAAGATCAGCATTACTTGCATTATAAATGGACATTTATATGCGTTGTGTTTTTGTGCTGGGAGCGCCACTCATCCTCAACACTTAGGATCCTTTTACATAGGCGGACCCGTTTAGCGGATCCAATTGCTCAGCGGAGGATCTCTCCACTGATCCCCGATGAGCAAGTGGATGACAGGTCTGTGTCCGCTCCGCTGCTACAGAGCGGACACACAGAGCAGCTTGCTCTCCTCAATGGCCGGTCAGATGAAAACAGACCGCCTGTCCGTTTCCATCCGACCCGATCTGATGGACAGAAGGGGAATTGGATCCCTATCCATTCCTTTTTTGCGGGTCGGATCGGATTGGTTGTCGGCAGGTGTAAAAGGACACATGTCCGCTTACACTCACCACTCCATAGAGGAGAAAGGAGGTTCCGATCGGGTCTGCCTGAAAAACGCCAGGAAAGTCCATGTGAAAGAGGCATAACACTGAGCTGTGATCACTGTGACAGCCAATCACAGTGATCGCTGTAAATTGAACCTCTCCTTCACTGTTTCTCCTCTGTAAAGACAAAAAGATAATATTGGTCTATTTACTAATACTGCAGAGTGAAAAATCTGGTCCAGCTGTGCATTGTAACTAATCAGCTTCTAACCTCAGCTTGTTCAGTGAAGCTTTGACAAAAGACTGGAAGCTGGTTGATTTCTATGCAGAGCTGCACCAGATTTTGCACTCTCAAGTTTTAGTAAACCAACCAAAATGTATCTTTTTCTCCTTGCTATGAAAGGTTGCACAGACACAAAATGAAAGAGGTTTCATCTAGGATTAGGTTATCTAGCCACTTGCCCTCGTGAGGATTTACCCCCCTTAATGACCAGGCCTCTTTTTGCTACTTGGCGCTGCACTAATTCAACTGATAATTGCGCGGTCATGTAATGCTGCACCCAAACGAAATTTACGTCCTTTTTTTCACACAAATAGAGCTTTCTTTTGGTGGTATTTGATCACCTGTGCGCTTTTTATTTTTCACGCTATAAACAAAAAAAGACCAAAAATTTTGAAGAAAAACAATATTTTTTACTTTCAGCTATAAAAAAAATATATAGTAAACTCATAGTTAGTTATAAATTTAGACCAAAATGTATTCTGCTACATGTTTTTGGTAAAAAAAATCCCAATAATTGTATATTGATTGCTTTGTATGAAAGTTATAGCGTCTACAAACTATGGTATAGATACTGCAATTTACGCCATTTTTTTTGCTATACAGCACTGCGCTAGTTTAACGGACAATTGCGCGGTCATGCAATACGGTACATAAATGAAATTTACATCCTTCTTTTCCCACAAATTGAGCTTTCTTTCGGTGGTATTTGATCACCTGTGCATTTTTTATTTTTTGCGCTATAAAAAAAAAATGTTGACAATTTTGAGAAAAAAAAAAAAATATTTTTGACTTTTTGCTATAAAACATGTCCAGTAAAAAAAAAATTAAAAATCAAATTTAGTCATAAATTTCTGCCAAAATGCATTCTGTGACATGTCTTTGCTAAAAACAAAAACCCCAATACGTGTAAATTAATTGATTTACGTGAAAGTTATAGCGTTTACAAATGGCAGGAAAGATACTGGGATTTTTAATTTTTTTTATACTAATAATGGCGGCGATCAGCGACTTATGGCGGCGATCAGGGACTTATGGCGGGACTGCAGCAGACATTCTGACACTGGGGGGGAACTGACTTGGGGTCACTGACATCCCCAGTGACACCAATACAGTGATCAGTGCAAAAAAAAAAACCACTGAACTAATGGCACAGGGGAGGAAGGGGTTAAGTTTATTATTCAGTGAAAGGGTTAACTGTGTGAGGGGAGTGTTTTACTAGGGGGCGGGGGTGTGTACTGCACGGGGGACAGCTGATCGGGAGAGATAAACTCTTCTCTCCGGCTCAGCATGTCAGGAGCTGTCAGGGAACTGACAGAAAGCACAGCTACTGCAGCCCTGCTCTCTGTCAGTGATTGCCCCTAATCGCCAGAACACAGCCGGTAATGACCAGCTGTGACCCGGAGACTGACATCCGCGGCCGTGATCGGCGGGACAGGTAGGGCGGTGGCGTTTTAAAACGTGGTTTTGCCCAGCTGTGCTGCCCTGCCAACGTATTTCTACAGTGGCTGGGCGGTATGTGGCTAGGTTACAGTTAGCCTCTAATCACATCTGTGCATTCTGTAAAAACGCATGTTTTCATGCAAAACAGAATGTGCAGAAAACTTGCGGTGCCATTCATTGTTCATGGCTCCCTAAAAACGTGCAGCA